AATGTTGCAGCTGCCAAGTCCTGTGTAATCCTGATTGTGGATCCTCAATATTTGAATTGTTTCTTTCTGGCCACTTGTAGTATTTTTTTCCTTGATCTGATAGTTCTGAAATTTGGCTATTAATGTTCCTTCAAATTTTTATTTTGGGATCTCTTTCCTGAGATGATCCAGAGGATTCTTTGAATACCTATTTTACCCTCTGATTCCAGAATATTAGGGCAATTTTCCTTGACAATATCTTGAAAGATGCTGTCCAGGTCCTCCTTTTGGTTATAGCTTTCAGGTAGTCCAATGATTCTAATATTGTCTCTCCTGTATCTATTTTCCAGGTTAGTTGTTTTTTCCCATTAGGTATTTCACATTTTCTTCTTCTTTTTTCATTCTTTTGAATTTGTTTTATTGATTCTTGATGTCTCATAGAGTCATTAGCTTCCATTTGTCCAATTCTAACTTTAAAAGAGTTATTTTCCTCAGCTGTTGTACCTCCTTTTCCATTTGGCCAATTCTACTTTTTAAGCAGTTGTTTTCTTTTTCAAGCTGTTGACTCTTTTTTCATAATTCTCTTGCATCACTCTCACTTCTTTTCCCATTTTTTCTTCTACCTCTCTTATTTGATTTTTAAGCTCCTTTTTGAGCTCCATGAGTTCTTTCTGGGATTGAGACCACTTCTTGTTTCTCTCTGGGGTTTTGCCCATAAGTGTTTTGACACTGTTCTCTTCTGAGTTTGTCTTAATCTTCCCTGCCATAATAAGTTTCTGTGGTCAGATAATTTTGCTGTTGTTTGTTTTTTTGTTTGTTTGTTTTTGCTCATCTTTTTCCTTTCTTTTAAATTTGAGTTTTCCTCCTGGGGTGGAAGGGGCACTGTCTTAGGCTTCTTGTGACTAGAGTTATAGTCCCTGGCTATATACCTGGTGCTGCACTGATGTTTCCCTGAGGCTTAAGGGGGACATATTTGGTGCCGTGCTGAAGGGGTGGGAAGTGGGGGTGGTTGATGCTGCTAGAGGCTATAGGGGTCTGGTAGCTTGCCTGGTCCTGAACTGGGTTTCTAGTGCTGGTGTCTGTCATGTATTGAGGCCAGTGGGTTGTTCCTGCATTGATTTCTACCTGTTTTACTGAGCTACACTGAAGCATGTCGTGTTCTGACCACTGTTTGCTGCCTGGTTGCCTTGCTATGTTGTATTATGTGTGGGGTACTGGAGAACTGGTGATTGCCTATTTGCTTAGGCACTTGTAGGGCTGGTGTCTACTTGTTTGTCTGGGGCCATACTGAAGCACATAGGTTGCCCCTTCCCTTGGCTAAGTTGAGGCATGTTGGGGGTCCTGTGTTGGTGTTTGCCTGTTCCATTGCACTGGGGCACAGGATCTCCTACTGGTTTGGCTGCTGGATTGCTGGAATGCTTCCTGCCCTGGACTGTACACCCCCTTTACCTGAGTAAGACAGACCTTTCCTGCCAACCTTCCAAGTTTCTTGGACTAAAAGACTGTTTTACTCCATCTTTTTGCTCTTTCTGCTGTTCCAGGATTTGTTTTGGCGTGCTATTTTATGATTCTTTGGAGATGAATATGGGAGAGTTACAGTGATGTCCTGCTTACTCTGCCTTTTTTGCTCCCAGAAGTCTACAATTACTTCTAATAAATAATGAAGTTAACTGATGTGAATTTTATCTCTCCTCTCTCCTACTGTCCTTTTCAGATGGTGCTAAGAGGAAGTTAATTGGGAAAGAGCACAGAGTAGATGAAAGCAAGAAAAAAGGTAAACGGAATTGATAATCACCAAGCTGATAAAAATTTGACTGGATAATTGTGAGTTGACTATTAATCCACAAGGTCAATATTGTTGAACATATTATTATGGCTTCAAATGGTCTTTCTTAGTAAATGATTTTTTTTTTTACTTTTTAAGCTAGTATGTGAAAAATTCAGCTGCTTCAATGACTGTAATTATAGAAAAAAAATTTTCTCTTTTGGGAGAATAGAGGAACAATTGTTCCTATCATACCAACACTTTAGTTCTACTCTTCCTGAGATCAGTGTGTTTCTATGCACTCTCTCTATGTCTGGATGGAAGGAGAAAGTAGTCAATAACTGCCTTTGCCTGCTGTTTATGTGAGAAGAAAATCTATTAAGTTTGGGTAAGAAGGGTAAGGAATATGAAGAGGTTAGGGGGAATTTGGAGAAAAAAATAAGGCATTAAAAGATGGGTTGGAGATCTAGGTCAACTCTGACCTTTCTATATTTATGTACCCTTTCAACTGTGGTTGCATGCAATCTGTACCTTTGGGAAGATTTTTGTTCCCTTTCCTACAGAGATTTGGGTTGGGCATTATTTTTATTTTAGTCATGTTCCCTTTTATTTTTTTACAATAAAAATACTTTGAGTACCATGCAGAGTTATGATGCTGCAGATGGAAGGCATCCTTTGTTTCTGGACTTTTGAGGTCCCTTTCAAAATTTGATTATTTTTATATTAGTTTTATCTTTACACATTCATCCTATCAAATGCCACTATCTTCCTGAAGCACAATTAGCTAAGTTATTAAAAATGCTCTCTTGATGCACACTCCACTAAAGTCATATCATTGCATGGACATCATCTTATGTTCATAAAAATTATGCTGGAGAGCACACACCACAAGAGGCTCTATTAAGCAAGAATATCTTTGAATATTAGGTTAGTGATAAGTGTGTTTGCCTATGACACAAGGACAGAAAGAACTAAATTAGAAGAGACAACTGGGCCTACCAGTAAAGAGCTGATTTTGAAGATATGACTTGGGTTCAAATCCTGACTCTGACACACCTGGCAATGTGACATTGGGGAAGTCACAGAAACCTCAGTGCCCTTTTTTAAGGTGGCAAAATTATTATCATTTACAAGAATAATAATTTAATATTAATAATACTGGCCTTTCATAGAAGTTTGCTTTTGGAATATCAATGAAATCTTAGGTTTAATTCCTATACCTTAATCATCTGAATTTCAACCACCAGGTGGTGATTTTTTTTTAACTACAGGAACCCATTTACACTAAAGGAATAATTTATTATTTATAATAATAATAATAATAAATTATCAATTAATTAATTTTATGGAATAAACAATCATTTCCATAACAGTACAACAAAAAAGATGATTGCACACAAAACTGCAAATCCACTATGTACAGCTTGCTATCCTAAAGGAATACAGTGTTTGTGATCTGTATCAGAAGGAAGTATGAATGAATTCAAGTCACTTAACCTCTCTGGACCTTAGTTTCCTCATCCATAAAATGTTAGATTAGACTAGATAACCTTTATGGTCCCTTCCAACTCTAGACCTATATGCCCATGAAGAAACTTTTTTTTTTGTGAGGGACGGGCAAGGTAATCAGGATTAAGTGACTTGCCCAGGGTCACACAGCTAGTAAGTATCAAATGTCTGAGGACAGATTTGAGCTCAGGTCCTCCTGTCTCCCAGGCCAGTGTTCTATCCATTTGCACCACCTAGCTGCCCCAAAGAAACTTCTTAATAGACATAGCAAATGCTATGGTCCCACACAAACCTCATATAGCCTTAAATATGAATGTTCAACATGGCAGAGTGCAATGACAGAAGGTAGGGATTATTGCTATTCCTTTTATGTCTTTGGCCTTCCTCCCTGTCAAACTTGTCTGGACACACACCTCATTTCTCACTAAATGTTTTTGCCCCCTAGATGGAAATATAATAATTTGCTTAGTATTTCCAAAATAATCACATTCACTAACTGCTTCCTGACTCTTTCTGGGAAACTTGCCAGCATACCCGTGGTATGAGTAAGCAGATAGTGATATACATTGTTTGAGACATTTGTATCCTCATTATCCTCTTGCTGCACAAGTCACGAAAGATGGAAATCAAGATGTCAGTGGCTTAGATCAGCCTTGAAGATAGAGCAATAAAAGCTTTAGGCCCTCAAAAATGCATGTGAGGATTTTAAATAGCCTTTCCTAAATTTATTTGATTATTATAACAATGATTCTGATGTCATTAAGAATCACAACCCAAGAGGATTACCCATGGCATCAACAATGCATATAACATTTCTTTTTTTCCTCAGAGTTTGATTTTGTATGTTATATAACCTTTCACTTGTGTAAGTATATATATATATATATATAAACATATATATACTTATGTATATATATTTATAAGTATATATATATACTTATAAATGCATCTGTATCCTGATGCATTTAGGATTAATTATTATGTTTTAAGGCTCTCTTAAACAATGGTAACAACAATAGCAAAAAAACAATGGTATGATTCTAACCTTGTGAAAGGGGTATGTCATAAAATCTGATAAGTAATTAAGACTTTAGTGCAAAAGAATTCGCCAGATCATTTCCTGAAAACAAGTTTTGACAAATATGCAAGTTGAAATAATGCAAAGACACTGGATGCCTGTGAAATAGAAGGTGCTATTGAGTGGAGGAGAAGACGCAATCATAGATTCTGATAGTGGAATGGAGACTGCACTTGTTACTCTCTATTCCAAATCTAAGATTCCATGAATCTATGAAACACTGATTAGGTAGGCAAAAGCATAGAAAAGCATTATCATAAATGAAATTACTTTTACAGTAGCAGTTTTTATATAATACAAGAGAAATAGTCTAGAGGTAACTTTAAGGCAAATCTTGTCATCACTGAGGTACATTTTTCTTAGAGTAAGGGCATAGCTCACTGAAATGCAAATAAATATAATAACCATTTACCGTATTTTAGACTCTAGCAGCATAAGAACTTGGTATCTCATCAGTTTTTATTTTGAATTTTCTATAATAACATTAAGACCTTACTTATCCCATTTTAACCAGGAAACAAACCCCTTGGATTTTGCTATAGCCTAGGGATTTGGCAAAGGATAATTGGGTTTAAAACTGTAAGAAAATGCTTTGAGTACATTTAAGTTAAAGTCCAAATTCAGAATACCTGCACCATGATTATCAGAGCCAGGAGTGAAAAATTTTACCTTTGTTGCAGCATCAAAGCAGACAAATCCCATACTAAAGTCAATAGTTAGTCCCATTAGATGACTTTCCAGTACACAGGCATAGGTCTTGCACTAGAAAGATTAAAAAAAATGTTACTTTATATGAAAGAGATCTAAAGAGATTGTTTTGCCTCATTATATCCACCTGCTGTAAGAATTGTCACATATTGGCAGAATCATGTTGAGGACATTTTTAACAAACATTACCTCTCATGGCTTCATATTATAGTTTCTCTTAAACACTAATGAGAATTTTGATTAAAATTCTATCATGTTGGGGAAGGGTTTTTCGATCTAAATTTCTCTAATTTACCAAAACATACCCTGAGGCAAAGAAATATAACAGAATTCATGACTTGGCAAAGGTCTATAATATGAACCATGTGTCACCCTGACATAAAGAGATAGCCTTTCATAGCTCTTGAATGGAAAATTTTTAATATGTTGCTAAAATGGCAATAATCTACAGACAACAAAGTAGTGACCATTTCTTAACATGAACAATTCATTCTCAATAACATTTCAAGTGAACATAGAGGCATTTTAAATCATCCACCACAAACTGTAGATGTCTAACCTATGTTGAACTGTTTTCTCACTATACCTTCTGAATAATTGAGAAAAGATTTGCAAAATATATTTTTAGCTAATAAGTGAGTTGTTATTGCTATTGCCATCAACTTGAAATCTAGAAAATCAAGCTTCATAAAAATAAACATACTTGATTAAATTTGACAGGAGGAAAGATTTTTCCTATAGAATGATAACTCCCATAGATAGTTCCTGTTGACGTAAAGACTGTACACCATAGAACTGATACTACGCCCAGACATGCACCCACCTTATTGAGCTGGCTCTCAGTCTATTCAAACCACTCATCATTTCCCTTCTCAAATTTGTTCAAATCTAATTCAGTAAAAAGTTGACCTATGTATATTGACAACCTGAGTCTTAAGCACAATTTACCAAACTTCTCTAGTCTATTTTCTTTCTTTCTACTCCTTTTCAGTCCTACTTGCAGCTCATCTATTTCATCCTTTAGCATTTCCAGTCTAAAAACAATAATGCCTTTTTTAATTAATCAGGCAAGGAGAGAGAATACACACAGAGGGCACCATGTTCTATTTATACAACATGATGTATGACTGTATCTGTAGACCACTTGCTTTATTTGCATTTAAATATGACCTATAGAGGAGCGTTGACAATGATAAATACACATTAATATTGTGTGTAGCAAAACAGAAAAAAATTAAACCACCAAATCTATTGTAATTCATGCTACAGATTTGTATTACCAATTGTGACTTCATAAGAAGTGAACATACTCGATACTGTAAGTGTCACTACATTGTTCAGTAGTTTCGGTCCTGTCTGACTCTTCGTGAGCCCATCTGGGGTTTTCTTAGCAAAAGATACTAGCATGGTCTGCCTTTTCCAGATCATTTATAGATGAAAAAACTATGGCAAACAAGTTAATTCACAAAGTCACAGAGCTCACAAGTGCCTGAGATTGGATTTGAACCCTGGTCTTCCTGAGACCAGGCCCCGTACTCTATCCACTGAGCCATCTAGCTGCCCCAACCACATGAATCGAACTCTGTATTACTTAAATGGCTCAATACATAGAAGCCACATTGAAACTTTTATTACTCATATGATCCTTGCTTCCTAAAAAGAAATATCTTCAGTACTGCATTTATGAATAACTTCCTCTTCATAAATATTAACTCATTTATAAAGGGCAAAAGGTGAACATAAAGTCATTTGTTAAATAATAGCAATATTAGATAGACTGAGAGAGTAGCAGTGATGCAGTTAAGGGACAGGGGCAGAGACTCAAGCTGTTATTTCCCTAATATTGAGTATTCCTAGGTGTGGACTTTCTTTTTAACATACAGATTTGCACCTTCTCTACAACTTATAGCTGGAGAGATTTGCCTAGAAGAGGTCTGAGAGGTTCAGTCACTAGCCCAGGGCCACATAGCCAGTATGTGTCAGAGGCAGGGTTTAAAGGCATGTTCTCCTGGCCTCGAGGCTGGTTCTCCATTTATTATGTTACACTGTCTATCATGATGCAGTGAAATAAGTGCTAAATCTGACATGAGGTCAGATTCCAGCCATGCTGCTTGCTATCTGTGTAATCATGGGGCAATCTCTCAGGCTTAGGTTACCCCATGTGTAAAATGAGACCCTGTGATGTTATGACTAAAATCCACTTTTGGAAATGCCAATTAAGACGCTTGCAGCTTAATGACAGACTATAAACTCCTTGAAAGCAAGACCTGTTTTTTTGTCTCAGTGTCCCCAGCACATATCACAGTGTTTGGGTCATAGTATGCACTTAAATACTTTTGCATTGATATATATAGAATTGTGTGTTTACTTCTGAGTTTTTAAAAATTCATGGACTTATGATTTCATTGATTTCCTTTTGAGGAAGTCTCTCAACCAGAGACATACATGCAACATACAAAATATGAGAAAGTTGTCTATGGGTATTTAAAGGTAAGTGATGTGTAGTCACTATATGTCAAATTTGAACCAATGGCTTTCTGACTAAGCAGTCAATTCTATATACACTACACCACACTGTTTCTTATTTTAAATGCAACCAGGGGAATGGTGGATAGAATGCCAGCCTAAAGTCAGGAAGACATCTCCCTGAATTCAAAGCTGACCTCTGACACTTACTGCGTGACTCTGGGCAAGTCACTTAACCCTATTTACCTCAGTTTCTCATCTGTAAAATGAGCGGGAGAAGGAAATGGCAAACCACTTCAGTATCTTTGCCAAGAAAACCTTAAATGCGGTAACAAAGAGTTGGACATGACTGCAATACACTCATAGCTACTTCTCAAGGATACCATGTAATCTTTACCATCCTAATTCTTTATTCAAATTATATTCAAAATAATTTTCATAATTAGATATTATTTCAAAATGCTAAGGAATTATAATAGGTAAAAATTAGTATTTCCTGCTTGGCAGCCCACCAAATATAGACACCAAAACGAATAACATATCACGTGATTGCAAAATTGAACTGGGTAAATGAGATATTGATTTTAAAAGAGAAACCACATTTCTATTGTTGTTTGAATCCTATTTTGAGAGAGCTATTACACCTATTTTGACAATGTTAGTAGAGATCCCACAAATATAATCTTGTCAGTAATATTACTTTTAAATTCTTTATTTATGTTGTTCAGAAATCCTCCCAAACTTCAGCAATCAAATTACTCCAAGAGAAGAAATATTTTTGCAAGTAGATTAAAATGAGTATTTTGAGTACAAGGAAAAGAATTATTTGTCTACTTCACATAGAATTATTTTAACTTCCTTTTTTGGGGGGGACAAACAAAGCCAGCTATTTTCTATAAGGATAGTTACCAAATTCCTACACAACTCACTTCAGTCTTTTCTATATTAGGTCTTTCCCAATCCCCCTGAATCCAGTGTCTTCCTCTAAATTATTTTATATATTCTTTTAACATACTTATATTTACAGGTTTTCTTATCTGATAGAATTTAAATTTCTTGAGGCAAAGACTTTCAGCTTCATCTTCCTGTACCTATTAGTTCCACTCTTTCTAAAGTTGTTTACCATCTACTTTCTATTGATCCAATATGTTCATACACACACACACACGCACGCACACACACACACACACACACACACACACACACACACACTTTCTTACCCATTAGAATGCAGTGATCACATTGATAGCAGGGACTATATTTGTTTTTTAACTGTGTCCCTAGTGTTTACTAGTACATGGTTGGCATTTAATAAATGTTTCTCGACTGATTTTTACCATCAGCATCTAGCAAAGTATCTGACACTCAATAGGTATTTAATAATGCTTATTGACTGATTGTTTAATAATAGGTGGTATTATGAGAACTTCTTAGGATATATAATAAATCATGATTGAAAAAAATATTTTTTAAAAATTGTGAGCAGTCTGATTTCAGAAAAAAATAGCAAAAGTGATAAAATAAAGTATATGAAGATTAGTAGAGAGATTTTAATCACTTTATATTGCCATATAAAGGAAAATACAAAATAAAAATCTTTTCAACAAGCAAAGGTATTCATTTATATTCTTATTTACTACTTTATTTTCCAATAGAACTTACTTTTTCCGTAATTTTTATTTATATACAAATTTAATGGTGTTGAGTCTTTTGTGGATAAGAAAAACAAAACTAAAAAGGATAATTGTCAGTAGGTAGGCATATTCAAATTCTTGCTACTTTAAAAGACTCCTTATCCAAATATGTAATCAACTGAATTACCTTTGATTACAGATTTCTCATAAAACACACATGAAACCTGGTAAATTTTAAGTAAAAACAACATTTCATTGCTCATTTACAGTGTACTCCCAGTGCATTGTGGCTCAAATTGGCTTTATGAATAACTTGACACCATAGGTATCCTCTGGAAACAGTCCAAAGCTTTATGCTATTGCTCAGACCTCAGGCTTAGAGAATATACACCACAGATCCAAGAAACTGTTTTAAATTATGGAAAAATAATATAAGGTTATTCTATCCCATTTCTAAGGTTTGGAAGAATTAAAGACCTTCAAAATATTAGCTTCCCCTGGGGAAAACATTTTAAAAAATGATCTTGTAGCCTTTAACATGGCCATTGATCTTCCTAAATAAAAGTGGTCTAAAAGGTAATTAAAGAAACATGAAGGAGAAATAAATACATTCCCCTATCACCTTCTGTTCAATTAAATATTATTAACTAATGTTTTAAAAAGTCTTGAGATTTCATCCTCGATCCTAGGAATAAAGTATTATTTTAAAAGACAGAAGTTTCCTCTACCTCAATAATTCAGAATCAATGAAAAATATATTTGTATAGCAAAATACCAAGCATTACAGTAGGTTTAGGTTGTATTAGGTTCGGAACAATGCATAACAGAATACTGGCACTGAAATATTCTTTAGTTTCAGGTACATATTTGGGCTGGTGCATGAAGAAATGAGTAGAGTTAATATAGATAACCTGAGAAGCAACTTAAAGCTTTCTAAGTCTTACGCCACCTCACCCAACTCTATTATACCACAGTTGTTATACAATAGTTTTATACAAAAGGATGAGTTGGAGAACATTGAAATCAGTTTTATACTTAACCAGGAAGGAGTAATGACATCTGTTCTAGGAGTTTATGACTCAAATAAAGACATTGCTAAAGATACTGAAAAATTATTTCTGTGAGGTGAAAAGAAAATCTTCTTTTCATGATATGAGAATTCCAGCATCAGCTAAGCATTCCAGAACACCCATTCATGGTGACTGCTATTATAATCAATGTGTGTATGTTTGTTTAAATTAAAACAATGTTTTTGGACATGGTTTTGGAAACAAATCTTGAATCAAATGCTCACTTAACACAGTGCCTGGAACATAATAATGTTTGATCTTCTCTCTCTCTCTCTCTCTCTCTCTCTCTCTCTCTCTCTCTCTTTCTCTCTCTCTCTCTCCTCCCAGCTACCCCAAGGAGGCAAAAACAAACAAACAAAAAAAGACATAAAGAAAGGTATAGTGCAAATCCAAACATATTTAGAAAGGTTTTTTTTTCTTGAAGAAGTAAACATATTATAAATAAATTTGATGTCCATTAATTGGGGAATGGTTAAATCAATTGTGGTACACGGATGGCATAGAAAATTTTTGAGATTTAAGAAATGATGGGTATGAAGAATTCGTGAACTGGTACAAAGTTAACTAAGCAGAACCAGAAAAATAAAAAATATGGTCATAGACAAAATATCAATGAAAATTTAGAATCAATGTAAAATAAGTGATTTACTACCATATTTCACAGTCATATAATTAGACCATAGAAATATGGGGAGATTTAATGTTCAAATCTGTGTGATTAACACATATCGATATAGATTTAGTTTTTAACATCAGTTACATTATCCTTCACAGATTTCATTACAGAATGTGTAACTTGTTACTGGGGTTGTATTTTCATAGAAGGATGAGCTGGGTAGGAAACACAGATGTGCAATGTTTATTGTTACACTTATTAAAACTGCATCTTTTCAACAGAAATCTCTCATCTCTTGATATATAGAAATATACTTGAAAAATATATTTGGAAGTAAATATTGACTAATTGGCATATTAATATCTCTCTAGGTCAATGTCAATTGCTATGAAATTGCAATTGTCCAGAAACAAAAACATTTATTAGACAGTATAATACTTTCAGAGAGACAGCATGGTATAATGGATAGACCACTGACCTCAGAGTCAGGAATTGAAATTTGCCTCTCATGCATATTGACTGTGTAACCTTGTGTTCCCATGCATCTTTCTAAAAATATAAGTTTCAAAGCAGTTGTTGATCTGAATTTTTATGGATATTATTTTCCCCCTCTAGGGTTACCTACTATAATGAAATCAATGGTCAAGTTCAAAATATATTTGCAAAATATTATTCTTTTTATAGTTTAAATTCTAAAGTTCACCATTTCCTGGTCCTAGAAAATATTCAAAATTAGTTAACAATATAGTGGCCAGTCTCTCAGTAGTCATACATTTAATATGTATTATCTCACTTTGCAAATATTGATTCATTATTTTGTAATTATTCTAGAATTACTTCATATATTCATGTTTTATTTCATTACCTAGGCTGTTTGCCATGTTCATAGCAAAAACATTGTCTTAGAGGGTTTTTTTTAAGTATAAATTAATGACATCTGGTAGAACATTTTGCATACAGCAAATTTTTAATAAATTCTGGTTAGCTAACTTATTGGAAGTACATAAACATGTATTATACTGCCTCCCAGGTAGCGAGCAAAAATCTCCATCAGTTGTGAATATTCTGGTATTTTCCCCCAGCTGCACAAATGATGAAGGGATAATGGTTGAATCATAAAATTGTTTTATCTTCTTCAATTTATATTCAATTCATTTTAATGACATTTTAATATAATAATCAAATATTGCTTCTTCTGAACTCAACTCTATAGAATATGATATACAGGAAAACACAAGATAAAATTCAAATTCTTAAATTAACTATTTTATGATGAAAATCGTAACACTCAATTGAGTCTTACCTGTATCCTTTCAACTTCTAAAAATGTAGCTGTTTGGAAGGCTTTCTCCCATTGAGCTAGGTCACACTCTAACTCTACTGAAAAGTAGAGGTCCTCTCCAGTTTCTGATTGGACACCAAAGCAGTGTTTCCGACGGTCCAGTAGATCACTGTCCTGATGAAAACCTGAAGTTATATAATCTGGCATACATCAATTCATATTTCTTATATGACCATGCCTTAAATCTAGTTCTAGTAATCCATTAAAAGTAGGTAATGCAAAGAAAGAAATATTTAATGATACCATAAAGAAGGATTTTTAAAACATGTAAGGCAGTCAAAAGTGTTATTCATTGCTCTAAAATGTATTAACTATGATATGTATCATAGTATGTATCATATGTATCATAAAATGTATCAACTATGACTTTGAGTAAGTCATTTTAGCCTCAGTTTTCTCATAGACAAAACTAGGATGTAATTTCTAGCCTGAATAGCTCATAAGAAGTATCAAATGAGATTTTGTATTTCAAAGAGTTATGTTTGTTTGTTTTTAACCATATTTGTGATCAGATCACTTTATCTCAGTGCTATGGTCAATTGTATTTGTTGTATAGGGAGTTTCTTCACTAAGAAGACACCTATAACAATGAAATCACTAGATCTAGTCCCTATCTCTAAAATTTGTTTGTACACATGCCATTATATCTGAGAAGCAGTGTGGAATTATAGCTAGAGAGTTAGCCTCAGAGTCATGAAGACCTGGGTTCAATTTTCATCTCTGTTGCTGGTCAAGTTTCTAATCAGAATCCTAATCAGTTCACTAAAATGATAATTTATAGAGCAGGTACTAAGGTGTCAGAGGGATTTCCCTCTTTGTGAGTTCCTTATATCAATGAAATCACAGGTCTGGTAAAAAAAAATCAAATATTAACATCATCATTATTATTACTTATTAAAATAGTAACAAATATCACATGTAAAATAAAATTTTAAATCAACCCTGATATAAGAAAGCAATTCTTCTGTATCATAAAAGAAAATCAACCACATATATCTATAAAATAATTTTACTAGTTCTATCCAGCTATTTCTGTAATAGTGTAATTGTAATAGTATAAGGTCTTTGACAGCAAACCTTATACTTTGGTACTACATATAACTTTTTTTTTAAGTTATAGGTTGGTATTTATGTGTAGGCACTCAAAATACGCATTAAAAATATTTTAATTAGAATGTAAATTCCTTGCAATGAAGGACTGAATTATGCTTTGTATCTCTAGCACAATGATTAGGTGCATAGTAGGCACTTAATAAATGGTTTTCAATTGATTCCTTAAGTTTACACTATTGAAATAGAGATCTTATTCACTTTGTATGAAGAATATGAATACTTAACTACCTTGTATTTAATTATATTCTAATGTATATTATAGTTTTTCATATACATAGTTCATTTTTTCTCCTCCAGTGCAATGCATGCTACTTGAGAGTAGGCATTGTGCCATTTTTCGTCTTTGCTTTTCTAGCATACTGCTGAGCAGAGAATTTTGGTCACCTAAATGTTTAATTTAATTTTCTCTCAAAAAAGTTTAAGGTTAAACTTTAGATAACCTAGACTATAGGTAACAAAGATTTAATCAAATAAATAAAGTATGTCATTCTATCATTAAAAACAAGATAGAAAGATAAGGGTTCTATGACATTCCAGCTAGATGAATTTATAACTAAACTGATTGAAAAAGTAAATCCAAAAAGTAATCATCAATGGTTCTATAAAACTTTCAGGGAGATAGATATCTTATGGGGTGTCCCTGATAGCTTCCCTTATTCCTGGTATGGTAAGAATGTTGGTTACTTTGGCATAACTGATTCCAATTTGTATTAGGTCACCATTTTGTAATGAAATGTTTTATTATTTGCTTTTTATAACTTGTTTCTCAATATTAAAATAAGCATATGTGTGTTATAGGTTGGTAAACAACACATGTGTTGTTATTAACTGAGAAACATATGGGATCCCCAGATAGGGCAGACTACCCACAAGAAATTTTGGTGAACAACCTCATCATTAGCTTGTCATCAGGTATCAATTGCATTTCTAAAAATCTATTCTATTTCTCCCTGTTACACTACTCAACTAAAGTAATGGCAAATTACATTTATAGGAAATTCCCAAGTTTATAAGATGTTTTCTATAGGCATAGATGCCCTTTTCTTTGGGATTCTAACCCACAACCCAATGTCCTTGAATCATGGTTACCTTCAGTTAGGCCTTTAGTGGGGAGCTAGGTAGGTAAGGTTTCTTGAGTTACTCTCCGAATGTAAGTTATACACTTTGTCAGTATGTAGATATACTTCCCCCCACTAATTAGCTAGTGTATCATTTAGTAATTTGCTCCTTTGATGAATTATTTATTAGTAACTTAGTGGTATATTAATGTAATTATTTCTAACTATATTCAAGTATTAGACTTTTCATCTGCAAATATTTGGCCCAACATTAAAAACATGTTAAGAGAAGGATCTAGAATTTTGTTAACCATGTAGGAACTTTCTCCAACAATGCATATCCCCAACCATCTATGACTTAGAAAATAAATCTTAAGAAGTTTCCTGAACTACATATAAGTTAAATGACTTGTCCAGGACCATAAAGCTAGTAATAGTGGCGAGATTTGAATCTAGGTCTCTAAGAGTCCAACTTAAGCTCTCTATTTTCTTAGTTATAATGTCCTCTCCAATAGTCAATAATGGTCTCAAAATTTTTTATTTGCACAAAAATAGGAGTAAAATAAGTAACTCAATAATTAATTAAATTCTAAAATTGTGCACCCTGACATGTGTAATTTGCTTATTTATAAATGATATATATGTATTAATAACTATATACATAAATAACATGCAAAATGGAATTTCCTGAAAAGGAATGACAAGATGATGAAATTATATTTGACCCTAGAGTTAACCGGAAGCCATTGGAGTCATTAGAGGGGTTGGGAGGAAGTGACATAGTGAAACCTGCATTATATGTAGTCACTTTGGCAGCTTCGTGTGTAATGGATTGGAGTAGGGAGAGATTTGGGGCTAGTAAACTAATTAGAATGTAATTACAATAGTCCAGGTGAGAGGTAATAAGGGTTTGACCTAGGGTGGTGGCATATATAACAGAAGAGGACAGATGCAAAAGATGTTGTAGGTGCAGAAATTATAAGATTTGGCAATTGAGTGGATATAATGCATTGAGGGAGAGTAAGGAGTCTTAAGATGATGTGTAGATTGGGAACTTGATGGACTAGAGCACTGGTGTTGCTCTCAGCAATAAAGAAAAGTTGGAATTTGGGTGCCTTTTTGGAGAAATATTATATGAGATCCACGATGAGGATCACAACCTATCCTGTGAGATTCACTTTGAACCACTTCCCATAAAAGACAGGTGGGATTCTTACCCACTGGTCTGTGCCCTGAAGAGGAGGCAAAGGTAATTTTAAAAAAGCTACCTGTATAGCAGTTACCTTCATGAGTATCAGGTAGCAGTTAAGTTATACTTGTTCCAGAGGTCTAAGTCAACACTGGCTAAGGAGAGGGACTATGGCTGAATGTGTGAAATTTGACATCATCTCATAAGATGACAATTCAACTCATTGGAAATAATAAAGTAAGAAAATACATATGGAGAAGAGAGTGTGCAACAAAGATGATGATCTATGAATCTAATGGATATAAAGGAAGAGCAATCAGACAAGTATAAGCAGAACTGAAAGAGAGGAGTGTTACAAAATTCCTGGGAGCAAAGACTCTCCAATAGAACAATGTGGTCTACAGAGTCAAAAGTTACAGAGGTAAAGATGAGTAAGAAATGAGAAGAGGGCATTAAGCCTTAGATTTGGTCATTAAGAGACAGATCTTTGGTAACTTTGCAGAAAGCAGTCTTAGTTAAGCGATGTGATTAGCACACCAGAGTATAGAGGGTTTAGAACGTAGTGAGAGAGAATGGAGGTATCAAGAATAGATAGCTTTTTCAAGGAATTTGACTTAGAGAGAAAATATATGATAGTAACTAAAGGAGAGCTGTAGGATCTGTTAAGGTTTTTTTTTTTTTAATTAATAGAAGAGACATGGTCCTCTTAATAATAGCAGAGATAAAATATAGGAAAAGGATGCCAATAGGGGTAATCTGCCAGAGAAGGTGCAGGGGCAGGGGGCTACATAGGGTAGCAAGACATACTAAATGTGACTCTTTCAAAACTACATGGAAATGGCACTTTTCAATCTTTTTTACTATAATGTATTATTACAAAATCACAGAATTTTGGAATTGGAAGGGACATCAGAAGATATCCTTTTCTCACAATTTTTGACAAAGAAAGCTAACAAATTTTTATCTCTCCTAACATCTGCTAAACAATGAAAATGGATAATGATGCTTAAATATCTCTCATTCATCATATATGAATATTAAGGAATTTTTCTTCTAGATGATTAGATTGATCACAGTTAAAATAATTAGTTTTATTTATTTCTGCATGACTTTTTTCCATTTTTTTCATTTCTTTGGTTAATCTCCAAATTTAGTGTCAAGGTATACACAAAGTCTAGTGTAGATATGGATCAGCTATAACACATTACAAATGTAGAATTGCACAGGAGAACTGGAATAAACAAAACCATTTGAGAGAATCATGACTGCAAAAGGAGGTGGGTAAGTCATGTAGTAAGAGCAAGCGATTATCACTATATTTTTCACCTGTATCTAGGCAATGTTAGAGATCCAGAGAAGGGCCTCCATAATGTTGGTCAGAGGACACAAACAAGAATCAGACAGAATGAAAAGGCCGAGATAATTTTTATCTGTACCATTGCAGAGAATACTCACAATGATGAAATTGCAGCCCATCAAAGTATCAAAGTATTATCCCTTCATGTGTATTGCTAATGACAATGTCAAACAGAAAAAGACCCAACATCAATTGCTATAGCAGTCTCCTGTTCACCTTAACATAACACGTCGCCAGTTTTCAATTTACATGGCACAACTCTCATTGTGAGTGATTTAAAATATTTTGAATAAAATTACGTGAGCTACCATGCAAAATAACTTCAAGATTTAAAATCAATGAAGAATGCTCTCATCTAGCACCTATATAATCACCCTAGTCCATGAAATCAAATCAA